TGGGTTATATCTCACAGTATGTAATATATCAGTCCATCTTTTGGGTCTTATCTTACAGTGTATTACATGTAAGTCAGTTTTGTGGGTTTTTATCATACAGTATATAATGTTAATCAGTTGGTGGGTTATATCTCACAGTATGTAATATATCAGTCCATCTTTTGGGTCTTATCTCAGTGTATTACATGTAAGTAGTTTTGTGGGTTTTTATCATACAGTATATAATATGTCAGTCAGACTGGTCAGTTTTATCTTGCAGTATATAACATGTCAGTCAGTCTGGTGACTTGGATCTCACAGTATATAACATGTTAGTCAAGCTAATGGGTTTTATCTCACAGTAACATGTCAGTGAGTTTTATTTTACAGTACAGAACTTGTCAGTCATACTTCTAAGTTTTATCTCACAGTTTATAACATTAGTGATACTATTAGGTCTGATGTCACCCTTTACACAGGGTATATTTATATTTACTATCACAGAGAAGCATATATCCAACTAGAACACACTCCATTATTATTTTTAAAAGTCACTTGCATTGCATGATACAAATAGTAAACAAACAAACTTATATTTCACAACTTTCTGTAAATGCTGTGTGCATCTCTGATCGTCAATAGCCACTCTTGTTTCCAACTGAAATCATTTAGCCTTGGGCAAGCATCAAGAGTAGAATCAATTCCTGGTAATATATAGTCATCCTTTTGTATGATACGATTCCTCCATCTGTAAATATTTCGTCACAGAAACTAGTTTTCTTGGCACATTCTTCAACACTTATTTCTGATTTTTTTTATACTGTTATTGCAGGATTTCTAACCTTTTTTTTTTATAGCTTAGTTGATTCTTGCTGCCAAGTTTGTTGATAAAATTTCCTTTGCTTGAAACCACTTTAAGTCATGAAACCTATTCTGATGGTGGAGGCTATAAACCAGACCATTTCTAATTAAACCATAAACATTAATGCACAAAACTAAGCCTATCTCAGGCTAGTTAAACCCAAACAAGTTTTAACAGATTTCTAGCTTAAGCTGGCTATCAGTCTGTGCCTACCATTTTAATCACAGTTTATCTAAATTACTTTAATAAAAGATAGACTATATGGTTTGATATTTCTTTCAAAATGTATTATGAAAGTCATCGAAGGTACCACTGTTAAAATGTTAAAGTGTTTAGTGACTGAGCAATGTAAAAGTTTGAAAATAGTCTCAACAGTGGAACATCATTGACTTTTGTGAAGTAAAAAGTATATAATAGATTTATGTTAAGACACAGAAAATTTTATTTGATGTAAGAGGGTGTGCTATTTAGTTTTCAATTTTAGTTGTGACAGAAGATTTAATAAAACTTTGTGGTAACAATACTTTAATGTTTTGTCTAATTTATTGATAGAAAATATTACAATAGCTAGCCCTAGTAAATTTTCGGTTTTACTAATAGGTGATCAGCCAGACTTGTGATTTTATAGGTTTTATTTTCAACCCTTCTTTACAGAAATTGAATTTACACTTTTTATCTATTTAACTCATTTTAAAATAATGCATCTTTTAAAAAAAAGAAAAGAGTCCAAAAAATGCATAATAAAGATATTATATACTACCTCACATCAATAGTACACACCTGTAGACTAAACCATGAATATTCCTAATAATATTTTTAATTTTGGAGGTTTTTTTTTCATATTTCTATTAGTCTAAACTTCTTAATTTTTCTTCTGTACATGATGATGGTTTTATCATAACGTTGATGTTTGGTGTCTTGTGTAACAATGGCAAAGTTTTATTTCTTGTCAGGAGTAGAGTGGGAAACTGAATTTTGTTATTCTTATCATAATTAACCAAGCCTGAAGAATATTAATAACAGTAAGATCTTAAAAAGCTTGCAAAAATGGGTAAAGGAGAATGTAGTATTTACTTTCTGATATGACTGTCTAAAGTTGTTACTTACCCGTGTGATAAATCAGTATCAGTATCTGAGTGAATTACAATTTAATGTCAAGCTTTAGCTTTTATAAGGTTGTGTTAACGACCTGTTTTAGGTAATTTCTGATCATTTTCCCAGGAATTTCATTTTAGAGTAAAGGAGATTGTTTGTCTTATCTTTTGCTGTTACTAAATTATTTTATAATTCAATCTTTTGAGTTAATTTACATTGAGAATGCCTTTTTGGACATTCATACTCAATCATTAATATGTATTACTGTTTGATATTTTTCACTTCTTTTGGAAAAAACAATTTAATTTCAGTGTGTGATTACTTTTATAAAAATAGGAGTTATCCTTGTTACCTCAAATGTTTTAACTGATAATAAGTAACTTTATTTGCTCCATATGTTAGTTATTGCCCCTTTTCCTCATTACTGTGGAGTTTTAATGATTTTCTTTCTCTTAGATTGAGAATCGTAATTCCTGATAAATTATTCGGGAGCTGTTTTTTCAGGAATCACTTAACTGTAACCAATCATCACACTTTGAAGATATCTTGCAGTAAATTATCACTTAAGATTATAAAATACCTACTAAGGAAGTAAGAGGTTAATTTAGATAATGATTTAGTAACACTTTTCAGTTTGGCATGATTAAAAGCATCTTAATGATAACCAATTGTTTTTTTTTTAAGGCCTACTTAGAAAATATATAAAAGTGACGTAAAAAAGTGTTCTACTGTATTTTTAGCTCTAAGTAAGTCTACATTGTAAGTTATAGGATTTGTTTTTTTTAGATTGTACAGTTTTATTTTCTATTCTATCTAGAACATTCAGAAGCTGCTGGGTTTTGCCCCATCAAGAACAGCAAGTAAACAAAGTGGAACTTTGTTCTCTCCTGGTGCTCAGCAAATAAAATAAATAGATTAAAACCTTCAAAAGTGCATCTAAGTAGAGAAAACTGATTTTTAGAATATGTTTTGGAACTGGATATCTTTGTCACTCAAAATAACCTTAATGGTTATGTATGGCAAAAATAGTATTATCGAAATGTTCACTTTTGAAGTGATTAGATTGTTTTTTTACACTGAAAATGAAACCAAGATGCATTAGAGGTAGAAGAATCTTTAACCTTTAAACACAAAAGTATTACAATGCTTAAGGTATTTAGTTATTTTCCCCATTTATTGTTATGACTATCAAACTTTTAATAATGATTCCCACACTGCTAATATAGTGAAGAAGCTATTTTGAAAAATAAAATCATAGTGGGATACCAGTCACATTCTAAATGACTATTAAAATTTAGTCTTTATTTAAAAACAAAAGAAAAACACTAGGGTATTTAGATGCTGAAGTTTTCAAAAACCTCAAATATATTTAATTCTAAAATTAATACATACGAGTTACTTTCAAAAAAGAAAGACCAGAACCAGTAGTTTCTAAAATAGGGGACATCATTGACTTTTGTGAAATAAAAAGTATATAATAGAATTATGTTAAGATACAGAATATTATATTTGATGTAAGAGGGTGTGATATTTAGTTTTCAATTTCGGTTGTGACAGAAGATTTAATAAAACTTCGTGGTAACAATACTTTAATGTTTTGTCTAATTTATTGATAGAAAATATTACATTAGCTAGCCCTAGTAAATTTTCGGTTTTACTAATAGGTGAGCAGTCAGACTCGTGATTTTATAGGTTTTATTTCAACCCTCATTTACAGAAATTGTAATTTACACTTTTTATCTATTTAACTCATTTTGCTGTATTGCTCTTTAATTACACAGGCTTGTTTTGGTTTTGATAATGGATTTTCCATAATTCAGCTACACAGATTTCGAAAATAATATTTATTTTTTGCTATTACGTAAGGATTTTTTACAAATCAGGAAGAAAAAACTCTTACTTAGATCAAATTATTTCGCTTACCACAATGAACATTTTTTATTATTATGTTTGTTAAAAAAAATACAAACAAACTAAAGAAAAGGGAAGAACGTTTATGTTAAACGAGTATACATCCTTATTCATCCTGATTTTTGTGTATGTGAAATCTACGTCTTTTAGTCTCAAAACTATGTATTGTGGTCTTTCTTTTACGTATTGTGTCTGGGGCATCTCGTTTCAATGGCCAGCAGTAATCAGCCATCATGATGTTCCACCTTCTCTGATACCTCTTCTCCATTCCCCATTGGCTTGATGAAACCTTTCCCTTTGTTCTTCGCTGACGGAACCAAGATTTTCAGGGAAGTAGTCAATATGTGAGTTTAAGAAATGAACTTTCAAGCTCATATTGCAACCAACTCTCTGAATTTATCGAGTATGTTATTGACAATATTTTCATAATTTGTGACCTTATTGTTTCCTCAAAATGTGTCAATAACATCTTTAAAGGCAATCCACGCTTCTTTTTTCAACTTTCTTCGTTGTCCTATCGAACTGTTCCTCCAAAATTAAGTTCCTGATCTGAGACCCAACAAAAATACCTTTTTAAAGTTTCGCTTCTGAAAGTGCTGGGAATTGTCCAGCTCTAGATACTTGAAACAGTCGCCATCTTTGTCTAAGGCCTTTACAAACTGCTTCATCAAGCCCAGTTTTATGTGAAGTGGAGGTAATGGGACTTTCTTTGTGTCAACCAAATTTTCACGTTCAATGTTTTTCGATCCTGGTATCAGGCTGACACTGCGTGACCATTGCTTCTTTATTCATGCTGATTTCATGCTCCGCTGTCCCATTCACACGAAACATGGAAACTTTGTATAACTGAATTGTTGACCCAACAACATACAAAGGACTTTTAAGTTTCCACAAAGTAGCCAACCACATTCTTTGTGTTTGACCTTATTAAGAATAAGTTTGAGATTTTCGTACGTTTCCTTCAAGTGATCCAAATGAGCAATAGGAACAGATGCATATATGTTACCTTTGTGAAAGAGAACACCTTTTAGACTTCTTTTGGAGGAATCAATGAACAATCGCCACTCACTTGGTTCATAGACTGCAGCTCCTAGCGTTGGTATTAATTCAGCAGTATTGTTGCAATAAACCAGTGAACCAATTTCTGTACCAGTAAAATTATGTTCATGGAGAAAGTAAGTTCTTATCCCGAAGTCTGTACCCCAAAATCTCATTAAGTTCTTGTGTGAAAAGTTGTGGTTCACCAGACGTTTCAGGTTGAAAACAATCCCTATCATCATTTCTATTGACTTCAGAATCAGATGAAACTGTATCAAGAGTCTCTGGTGGAGTAAGTATACAGGTATAACGGGTATTATAGCAGATTAAAAGTTCGGATAAGAAACTTCCTTTGTATTTCGAGTGTTGTAGCCTTGCACGTTACATGAGCAAAAATAGCAGTCATCTCCGTGGTTTCTAGGCTCACGCCAGACCATTAGAATTCCAAAAGGCAAAGACTTTTTCTTACCTCTAGTCTATTGTCTCAACTGTTTGACACAAACGGTGCAAGCTTTGTGCAGAGCCCATGATTTGTCTTGGTCCCCAAGTTTTATTCCAAGATATGCGCAATACGCTGTTTTGACGAATTCTATATTGTTTTGCCTTTGTTTTTTTACAACAAATTTACCACAAATATAACAGGATATGTATGGGTCATTTACACAACCTATTGTTGCCTAAGACGAATAAATAATAATAATGTCAGAGTGCACACACAAAAAAATATTATCCAGAAATGACACGTCATGCGGCCTGTTAACCGTTTATATACTAGCAGTGTGTTTCTCGTGGGTACTAGAACGATCGATAAGACTAACGTCGCGATTGGTCTAGAGAAATCTATAGCCAGTGGTTGCCAACATTTGAAGCATAACAAAATGTGACCCGATTTCACTGAAAATGATTCACTTATGTAATAGTACGTATTAAGCGTACAGAAATTACTGTAGAACATGTAAAAATTTCAAGACAATAAAACCATCGGAGGCCTGTGTTACCAGTGTGTGATATTATGGTATCCTTGTATCACTGAGGGCAGGTAGTCGTAAGCCTTAATTTAAGGACCTGGTAGGTTCCTTGTTATAGTAAAACTAGAAATAATGCTGACCAAACTTACGTATTTGATGCATAATATTACAAATCTGGGTCCTTTAACTTGTTTTCTCAAACCGCTACCAGTCAGCAGAAAACAGTTTCGTATTGCCTTGTATGGAACTTGTAGTTTGGCAATTTAATAGTAATAATATGATTAGCCCAAATTCCAATCTGAGCATTAATCATACCAGGTATGACCACCTAAAGCAAAGTATTATAATTACATTTGTACATATTTAGATGTCCTCCAAATGGGTCGGTGGTAAGTTTATAAACTTGACATGCTAAAATCCAGGGTTCAACTTCCTTCGGTGGACAGGGCGTAGATAGCTTATTGTGTAACTTTGTGGTGAAACAACAACATGGGTACACGTGGTAACAACCAGAAGCCGTAAAACACACAAAATATAAGCTTATTATATATAAAAATACACATATATATAAAAAAAACTATCAGGAGTATCTGGAACACCACACTATGCTGCTATGTACCTATTAGCTCCTTATTCGACATTAAATTACAAATATATATATATTACTGTATCTTGTATGCAAAAATGCTTGTGGTGATGCTTTGCGTGCACGAAGCTAACGGACAATCTGACATCTTGTCGCTTGCATCAGCGTTTGCACGAGATTGTGTGACATTTAATTGCGTAGTTTGATATAATTTCGTCGCTTGTAGGGTATTGCCATAGATTATGAAGTATCACATATCGGACAAAAAAGGGGAGGGGGCACACTTCTTCCTCATTCGGATAAAACAATTGAAGTTTGTTTGTTTGAATTTAAGCACAAAGCAACACGATGGGCTATCTGTGCTCTGCCCATCACGAGTATTGAAACCCGGATTTTAGCGTTATAAGTCCACAGACATACCGTTGTGCCGCTGGGGGGCAAAACAATTGAAAAAAAAAAGTGATATATTCAATAAAACAAACTTCACCAGACGACTTGTATGTAGTTTATTTCCAGTGGCCCAGATAAAACTTAACATTGGGGAGTAATGACACCTGAAAATCTTTGTTAGCCAACAAACAACTTTCGTCGTTGTCGTCGTCTTCAGGGTAGTGTGTCATGTTAAAAACAAAACAAAAAACTTTTAGCTACCTTCAGTAAATACTTCTATGAATTCACAAAAGAAAACATTACTGGTGTTTCACCATCTAAAGTACTTAGCAACGTTCATATAATAATAGATGCATTTCCGGTTGTTTTCGTAGCGTGACTCGCACCTTCAAAGACGATGTTTATTTCTGTTTAATGGACTACGTTATGGAAAAATAAATGTGGCACCATTAAAGTAGAAAGCAGACATGTGTATTGAAGAAGTACTCACTAGCTTTCTATGCTTTTGATTGATCACAAATACATTCCACTTGTAGATAAATTGGAAGAAAATGTTTTATGAAACAGTAAGTTTCAAACTTTTTTTTTTTTATCTAAGCGGGATATCTGTACATTAAAATATTTCACAACACTAAATTTGTGTACTCTGTATTGTTCTGTATTCGACTATTTATTATGATTTTAAAATTTCGTGCTCTGTAATGCTAATTAAATGCAAAATAAAAATATATCTCTAATCCAATCCAGGTGGTTAAGGCTCTCGACTCGTAATCTGCGGGTCGCATCCCCGTCACACCAAACATGCTCGCCCTTTCAGCCATGGGGCGTTATATGGTAGCGGTCAATCCCACTATTTGTTGGTAAAAGAGTTGGCGGTGGGTGCTGATGACTAGCTGCCCTCCCTCTAGTCTTACACTGCTAAATTAGGGACGGTTAACGCAGGATAGGCCTCGTGTAGCTTTGCGCCAAATTCAAACAAAGAAACAAATCGTCACGTGTAGAAACTGTTATAAACTTCACTTACTTGTAGTACCTCTACTTAGCGTTACTGTTGTTTGTAATGACCAACATGTTTGTTATTAGGTGCGAATGCGCACCGCTTGAACCGTATAGTTATGTAAATATTTCGGTATTTTAAAGATGCTGTTAAATGTCACAACTAGTGATATTTTAAATAAGTTTTCGTCGATGTTAACTGATAATTATAAAGTAAAAGTACTTATTTAAGACGATTTCTAAATACAGTGGCATTAGAAAATATTTTGAAGCTATTTTATTAATTGTATATATATATAAGATTATTAAAAACAAAACTACATATTTGTATTCTCAAATAGAATAACAATTAATGAAGGCCCGGCGTGGCCAGGTGATTAGGGCGCTCGACTCGCAATCTGAGAGTTGCAGGTTCGTCACACCATACATACCCTTTCAGCCGTGGAGGCGTTACAATGTAACGGTCAATCCCA